CACATGCTCTGCCAGCCATGGTGGCGCACGCCTGTAGTCCCAGCACTGAGGAGGCTGAGACGGAAGGATCACTATGAGGCCAACCTGCATGATGAGAGCCTGTGCCAGATGAATAAATAAATAAAAGATTAAAAAAAAGAAAGCCAGATAGCAAATATGAATTAGAAATTAAAAGAGCATGTGAACCACACAACAACTCCAAGACTCCCAATCTCTCTCAAGAGTCTCCAAAGGAGAAATGAGAAGGGAGGATAAAAAGAAGAAATGATAGTTAGATACTTTTTAAATTTGATAAAAGCATCAAACTCACAAAAAGTCTTATAGCTGCCAGGTTAAAAAAAAACTACTACTACAGATAAAGTCACTTGGTGACAAAATGGAATATATATTTGAAACGTCACATGGCACCCCATAAATGTGAGCAATTTTGTATCAATTTTTTAAAATATAAAATATGGAAGTCACTGGCTAATGACAGAGGAGTTCCAGGAGTTCAAGAGGACATAGCAATCCTGAATGTTTGTGCACCAAATAACACGGCTTCAAAATCTGTGACGCACAAGGGCTAGAGGTGTGGGTCGCTGGGACAGGGCTTGCCTAGCATGCTTGAGGCCCTAGGTTCAAGTCTCAGGAACACAAAGCAGTAAAAAGAAAAACATCTAAGAAAAACATCTAAGAAATGCAGAGGAACCTGTTTAATATTTGAAAGTGAATCAATGCAGCTTACCACATTATCCTTGCAAGAATAAAACAAGGCTCTCTCTCTGTACCTATCCTTAAGTAACAATGTCTTGGACGCTCCATCCAGTAAAACAAGCTTTAAAAAACTACATGAAAGCTACCCAGGGGCCGGGGAGATGGCTCAGTGGAATAATTGCTTGCCTGGCAAGCACAGGGGCCTGAGTTCAATCCCTGGTTCCGCCAAAAAGTAAAATAAAATTTTAATAAAAAATTGAATAAAAGATACCCAGATTTTTAAAAAGAAGTGAAACCAGCTCTGTCCACAAATGGCCTGATCATCTATATAGAGAACGTTTAAAGAGAAAATGCAGGCTGCAGGAGCAACGCGTGGCTCAGCAAGGCAGCACGAGGCTGTAGCCCAGCACGCGGGGAGGCTGTGGCAGCAGGGTCACCGTGTTCAGTCCCAGGTCGGGAACTTTAGAGATTTAGCAAGACGCTGTTATCAACTTTAAATGTTTTAAAATTTAAAAAAATAAATAAAAGGAGGAGGGCTAAAGACACTGCTCAGTGTAAAGGCCCTGGGTTCAAGCCCTAGTACTGCCAAAACAAGTAAA